GGTACTAGGATCATCAATGTCTTGTGAGAGTCTCACTTTCTAGTTGGGAGATGGCTGTATTCTCTGGTATCTTCAGAGTGCAAAAGAGGTGCGGGTTTCTGGGGAAATCTTTCATAAAGGACTCTAATGTCATTTGGATCCTCCACAACCTAATCACCTCCTTCCAGACCCCATCCTAATGCCATCACCTTGAATCTGGATAATGACACAAACATTAGGCCATTGCACTTCCCATGTAAATTACTCAACAATGTATGAGCTACTGTTCCATCCTCTGGTTTTGTTCCTTTGTTCCTTTTTTCTTGAACACACAAACTGTCAGCCCAGAAGAAACTAAACCTGCTCAATGTGTCTGGAACAGATGTCTACATCTGTTTTATCTCTCCAGACTTCTCTCTTGGTGCATATCCATCTCTAGCATTTAGTTTGACAGCCACACTGAACTACACAATTTTTTGAATCCTAGATTTTGCTTGGTATTCTCTTGTAGGTCTCTTGATTTGGCAAGATCCTTTTTATCAACTTAGAAATTATGTCCACCAAGATGTTTTTCTTTACTTCTCAAGTTCAGGTATTTCTCTGTGGCAAAATATATAATCCTCTACTGATATTTCTTCTAACTGTCTTCCTCCTGGGAACATATGCTCCTTTAGTAGAGAGGTTGCTTAACCAATCTCCGGTCATGCTTGATAACTTTCAATTAAATCCTGACATTGTGTATGACATATTGCAGGTACTCCTGATGATAATGTCACTGTGTCAGACAGCCTTTAGTCTCTTCTCTGTTTTGTTGAGAGAAGGTTGGAAATCATATACCCCAATTATGGATTGAGCCAGTTGGGTATAGTGATCATAATAATTCACTTAACTATTGTTTTCCTCTCTTCTACTGTTCATGGAACCCATGAGACGGGGTATTTGCTACTGCCTAATCATTTTGGGAATCATGTATGCCAATTTTGTCTCTGTAGCACTGTATAACTGATAAGATACCATTTTACTTTTAAAGGCTTTTTGTAGCAGCTACTGGTATTCATTTATGCATTGTTAGCTTTAAAAAATACTTCAAATCATTAAAATTCATGTTAATTTTCTTCTTATTGGGAACTTGACTAGGTGTTGGATTCTCTAAACTGTTCATATCAGTCTTCTCTGCCTCACAATAGTGGAATTTCACCTGAAATCCCAAGATCCATTGTGCCAATCTTGGGAAATACCATGAGACGGTTAGCACACTTTCTGCATTTACCTAGTTTTCTAGTCTTTGATCCTTCAAGAATTGCTTGCCTTAAATTTCCAATGCAATCAAACAGATATTTATTTGTATTTATTCAACTTTCCATTGGTTCTTGATGGAAGCATCTATTTGCATTCAACTTTTAATAAACAATGTGTGGACCTGCATGTTTTATATACACCATGAGCAAAATGCATCAGCAGAAATAAGTTTCACTCTATGAAATTAATATTTAAACTTACTAAATATACAAAAACCACATATTAAAAATGACAAAATTTTATAAAATGTGAACTCAAAATTCCTAACGTATATTTGAACTAAATTCTTTCCAACTTTTCTTTTTTTCCTCTATAGCAGTTAACATTTTCAGGGGCTAGTATCTGAAGAGGAGATCTACAATTATTTGATGAAGATAATTTTCATAAATAGAGTCTTTGTGTACCCTTCAAATTCATTTTGAAATCTAATACTTTGTATGATGGCATTTGGAGATAGGACCTTTAGTAATTAGACCATAAGGATGGATATCTCACAAACTGGATTAATGCCAACATAAAAAGAGGCCAGAGAGCTAGTTTGTTCCGTTTTTCCCCCATGTGAGGCTAAAAGGAAAGTTGGTTGATTGCAATTTGAAAATGAACGTTCACCATAACCTGACTCGGCTGACACTCTGGTCTTGGACCTCCAGCCCCCACAATTAAGAGAAATAAATGTTTGCCCTTCAAGTCACCTAGGGTGTGATACATGGTTCTTTCAGCCTGAACTTATACAATACTATGTAAAAAAGTATGTCTCATGATGTTGTATATTTTCTAGAATCATTAATTTCACTTCTTGTATTAACTTACATGCTATCTATCTATGTATTATTTACCTTCTGGAATCTACTTTCTCAATGAGAACCATTTCTCTTAATTGTATATAATTGAGTATTTTTAATATTTTATGTTCCTAAAATGTCCTCTAATCCCATGTGGGTGACAAAAACCCAATTTCATAATCTTAGTTTCAATTACATGTATGTATGTATACACAGTTTGTGCTACAATATAAACAATATAAATTGCTGTTTGTTAGACTAAAAAGTTTGAAAAGCATAAATCAAAATGATAGAACTTGCATTACTTCAGTGATACAAGTTTATCTTTCCTTACAATCTTCTCATTTACTTTATTTTTGTTTTCTTCTTTAAAATGCTACTATTTTGGCTGGTTCCGTGGCTCAATAGGCTAATCCTCCGCCTGCGGCACTGGCACCCCGGGTTCTAGTCACGGTCACGGCGCCGGATTCTGTCCCAGTTGCTCCTCTTCCTGTCCAGCTCTCTGCTGTGGCCTGGAAGTGCAGTGGAGGATGGCCCAAGTGCTTGGGCCCTGCACCCACATGGGGGACCAAGAGAAGCACCTGGCTCCAGGCTTTGGATCAGCGCGGTGCGCGGGCCGCAGCGCACCGGCCACGGCAACCATTGGAGGGTGAACCAACAGAAAAGGAAGACCTTTCTCTGTCTCTGTCTCTCTCTCACTGTCCACTCTGCCTGTCAAAAAAAAAAAAAAAAGCTATTATTTTAAATAGTGCACACTAGCTACAAACCAACATATACAGAATTGATACATCATAACTTCTTCTGGGCAAACCTTGTATGTATATAAATAATTGTTAGGTTCTAGATTTCTTTCTTAGAAATAAATTGTATATTGATTTTTGAAGAACTCTTGGGGCCAGTGCTGTGGCATACTACATTTTTTTTTTTTTGACAGGCAGAGTGGACAGTGAGAGAGAGAGACAGAGAGAAAGGTCTTCCTTTTTTTTGCCATTGGTTCACCCTCCAATGGCCGCCATTGCTGGCACGCTGTGGCCGGCACACCTTGCTGATCCAATGGCAGGAGCCAGGTATTTATCCTGGTCTCCCATGGGGTGCAGGGCCCAAGGACTTGGCCATCCTCCACTGCACTCCCTGGCCACAGCAGAGAGCTGGCCTGGAAGAGGGGCAACCGGGACAGAATCCGGTGCCCCAACCGGGACTAGAACCCAGTGTGCTGGCGCCGCAAGGTGGAGGATTAGCCTAGTGAGCCACGGCGCCGGCCCAAGCATACTACATTAAGCCTGAAGTGCCAGTACCCTGGTTCACATCCTGGCTATTCCGCTTCCAATCCAGATCCCTGCTAATGGCCTGGGAATGGAGTGTGAGATGGTCCAATTGCTTCGGCCCTTGCACCCTCATGGGAAACAAGGAAAAAGCTCCTGATTCCTGGCTTTGAGAATCTGCCTAGCTCAGGATGTTGTTGCCATTTGTGGAGTGAACCTTCTTCACAGCAGATGGAAGACCTCTCTCTCTGTCTCTCCCCCTCTTTCTCTGTAACTCTGCCTCTCAAATAAGTAAATAAATATGTTAAGAAAAAGAATTTTGATATATGGAAAGTAAAATATACCTTTATATTTTTAAAAGATTTATTTTGTTTAAAAATAGAATGAAATAAAGAGAAGGAATGACAGAATTGGGGGGGAGAAGGAGAGCAAATGGAGCAGAGAGAGAGAGAGAGATAACATTTTCCATTTGCTGGTTAATTCCCCAAATATCCATAATAGCTGGGACTTGTCTGGGCTAGGGCAGAGCTGGGACTTTTGAACTAAATCCAGATCTGCCAAGTGGATGGCAGCAACCCAATTACTTGGACAATCACTATCACCCTCCAGGATCTCCTTTGGGAGGAACCTGGAGTCAGGAGGCTGAGCCAAAAATCAAACCCAGGTCTGAGAAGTGAGCATCTTAATGGGTTTGCTAAATGCCTACCTCTACAACTATTTAGTACACCGATGTATTAAGATGCAAAGTAAGACAGATACTCCAAAGGCCAGTTTGAAAAAATGTCTAATTTATACCCTCTGTTAAATTAGTTGATTACTTCAATGTTGCTTCCATTAAATATTTCAGTTGCACAAAGTGACTAAGGGATGTAAGAACAATGCCATACTTCCTTTGAAGACTAATAGGACAAACACACTTCTAATCAAGTTAAGAGAAACAGCTATAGAGAAAGGTTCTCAATAAAAATCATAGGCATGACTATTGGTTCATGGATCTGAAGGGGATCAGAGTTTTTTTTGAAGATTTATTTATTTATTTGTGAGCCAGAATTACAGAGAGAGAGGAAGAGACAAGAGAGAGAGAGAGAGAGAGAGAGAGAGAGAGAGAGAGAGAGAAACATGCATGATTTTCCATCCAATGATGCACTCCTCAAATGGTTGCAACCACAGGGGCTGTGCCAGGCCAAAGCCAGGAGCAGGAGCTTCATTCAGGTCTCCCATGTGGGCTCAGGGACCCAATGACTTGGGCCATCTTCTGCTTCATTCCTAGGCATGTTAGCAAGGAGCTGGATCAGAAGTGCATCAGCAGCCGGTGCCGTGGCTCACTAGGCTAATCCTCGGCCTGCAGTGCCAGCATACCAGGTTCTAGTCCCGGTCAGGATTCTGTTCCGGTTGCCCCTCTTCCAGGCCAGCTCTCTGTTGTGGCCAGGGAGTGCAGTGGAGGATGGCCCAAGTGCTTGGGCCCTGCACCCCATGGGAGACCAGGAGAAGCACCTGGCTCCTGCCTTCAGATCAGCATGGTGCACCGGCCGCAGCGCACCGACCGCAGTGGCCATTGGAGGGTGAACCAACAGCAAAGGAAGACCTTTCTCTCTGTCTCTCTCTCTCACTGTCCATTCTGCCTGTCAAAAAAAAAAAAAAATTAAAAAAAATTAAAAAAAAAAAGAAGTGGCTCAGCCTGAAATGGAATCAGTCTCCATAAGGGATTCCAGCGTTGCAGGCCACAGTTTTACCTGCTATACCACAACACTGGCTCCTCAAAGAGACTTTTAAAGATATATTGACTATTTTAAAAGGTCAATGACAATCTGGGCAATGTTGTATATGCCATTCTGTCATTCAATTTTCTTAAGAGGATTTGTGACTCAGGAAACAATATAATATGATACTTCCTACCTACAAAGAAGTTCAAATATAAATATTTGCTTAGCTTGCAGAATTAAAATAATCTCTGAATGTGAGTTCAGGGTGGTGTATGGAAGGGGAGGAGCTCCCAGAGGGAGTGGCCAAGAACCACAGAGAACAATGGACAGAATAAGGGCTTATTTCCTATCCATAGATACATGAGGTACAAGATTGCTACAATGGTCTTTTATAAAATTTCTAGGGGCCGGTCACCATTGTGTGACTCTTTTCTGACTATGGTCATTCTGTTTGTTCTGCAGGATTGTATGCTACGGTTAACGAGAGTTGGGTAACTTCTGTTTTCAGTTGTTAGCCACTAGACCAAGAAAGCTCTCTATATAACCAAGATGTATTTACAAACCTAGATATCATGCCTCAAATCATGATTGAATGCAGTTTTGAGTCAATACCTTACAGTTCAGAAAAGCAGATTTTCATGTTAGGAGAAAAATGTGTATTTAGGAGTAAGAGAACAGATCGTCGTACATGATATAATTTTCCCAAGCATCTTCTCCATCTGTAAGAATATTTTACACCCCTCCTTTGCCATGACCCCATTGTTGGCCATGGCTATATCCCCTTCTATTGTCAGTGGACAGTTGCATGCCATATACAAACTTTCCAGTGTGTCCCTGTGGATTAGTTCAGCCTTTTTTTTCTTGGCTTCAATCAACAGAACACTATGTGCCAGATGGGGGCTGCTTCTTTACTCTAAAATCCATGAATAAGGACATAACACAGAGCCAAACAGAGCCACTGCCAATTTACAAACTTATGGGTGAGAGATAATTGACTATGATTACATCTACACTAACTGTCTGCTACCACAGAAAAAAGCTTGCTTTCACACTACCTCTTTTCATGATTTTCCTGTTCTCATGACTTCTTGCATCTCTTATTTGTTCACTTTAAGTGTACTTCCAATATACACATAAAATTACTTTATCTTTGGTCTATTATTTTAATGATACCATCCATTAACCTCCATGGTCAAAGAAGACACAAGCTACTTCTTACTGTGATCCTAAAGCCCACATTGATAGTGGCAAAAAAAACAGATGTGCAAAAGTATTCCTTAGTAGCAAGCAATTGAAAGAGCCTTCTTTCATACAATATCGCTCATACATGAGTGCATATTATGGATATACACTATTCAAGTAGAAGTTAACAGTGTATTAGAGAAACTCTTTATAGTTACTCCTCCATGATATTAAAATTTGGGTATATTCAAACATTTTTTCCACATCAGAATTAAAACTCTTTATTGTCATTGCCTATGCCTCACACATCCCATATTATTTGCATTCCCACACCCACAGAACTTTTAAGAAGTTACTGAAAAATTTGTTTTTACTCTGAAAATACATCTGCAGAGTCTCTCTGATACTGTATGCCTGCAGAAGCTTTTACAGGATTCATTTTCTTTCCAGTCATCATCCCTAGACTTTCCACTGGCATGAAAGTGTTGCATTCCACTGAAGTGATTATCAAGTGACATGAAGAAATATTACATCTCTTCTCTGAAGCACTTTCTTCATTGCTTCAGTTGTTTCTTTGTCCTTTATCATCCAGTGCCATTCTGAGTCTTTTGGGCTTCTAATCATTCCATTATAGAATTCAGAATACTTTCTTCACCGGGATGTTAGCCTCTGTAGAGAAACAAGCTGATAGAATAATGATTGGTTATACTCTCATATGACATAAAGGAATCATTTATGGACCATCCCATGTCTGCATAGCACATCAAATACACTTTCCTGCTTTCATACATTTCAGCTAACAGTGAAAATACAAATTTTTCTTTTTCTGTTAGGGCTCAGTGGACTCAGTTAAATATTCTCAAGTTAATTGGAGTTTATCTATCTATTAATCTTCCCATTCATCCAGACCTATAATCTTTTTTTTTTTTTTTTTTTTTTTTGGACAGGCAGAGTGTACAGTGAGAGAGAGACAGAGAGAAAGGTCTTCCTTTTTTTTGCCATTGGTTCACCCTCCAATGGCCGTCGCAGCCAGCGCGCTGCAGCCCGCGCACAGCGCTGATCCGATGGTAGGAGCCAGGTACTTATCCTGGTCTCCCATGGGGTGCAGGGCCCAAGTACTCGGGCCATCCTCCACTGCACTCTCTGGCCACAGCAGAGAGCTGGCCTGGAAGAGGGGCAACCGGGACAGAATCCGGCGCCCCAACCGGGACTAGAACCCGGTGTGCTGACGCCGCAAGGCGGAGGATTAGCCTAGTGAGCCGCGGAGCCGGCCACAGACATATAATCTTAATAACACAAAATACTGCCGTTCTTCACATTTACATGTCTTTAGAATTTCTAGCTTTGATCTTGTCAGCAACTCTCTGAGATAAAAGCAAGTAGGCCCATTTTAGAGATAAGAAAATCAACGATTATAGAATGTAACATAGGTTCTCTAAACTAAAATCATTTATATGCACAATGATTGTGACTTACAGTAGGGAATAACACATGAAATTCAGTGATAATTTTATAAATCCATCTGCAACTTTATCCTCATTTTTTACCATAGGTCAATATGGAAATCATTATCATAGGACCATATGGAAATCATTATGATGATTTTTTTTAAGCACTAGGGAAGAGAAAAACTTACCACTATAATTAAGTAGAAAGAATATGAACATTATCTCAGTAACTTATCTGAGAAATACTATATTTCTATTTTAGGGAAAAAAGTTGTCAGACGTCACTCTCTGAGAAGTTTATTCATCCTTGTCTGCTTGGCTACATGTCTTGTTTTAGTCAATGAAATGTGTGTGCTGGTAAAATACTACTCTGGGCAGTAGCTCTGCAAGCCAGCTTCTCTGTGAGCAGCTCTGTGACCTTTAACTGTCACTTCTGTGATCAAGGAAGCCTGTGGATGCAGGCAGCCCTACAGCTTCAATCCTTCAATGAATTAGGTAAGATGAGCCTTGTCGACCTGTGATGGGCATACAAAATGTGTACTATGTAAACTATATTCATTTAAGCTACTAAATACATAGATTTATTTATGAACATATCACAACTTAGCAAATAATGATGAATAGAGATTACATTTTAAAATGTTGCAATAAATGTATGTAAAACTTTTGATTATCAAATATTAAACATTAATTTACTTATTCATTTATTTAGAATAAATATGATCAAGAGTGCTGTTGTAATATCAAGCAAGGAATACATCATGAATGACATAGTTCAGAAGCTAGATATAGATCTTAAGAATGGTAAAATAGATGAAAAATACAATGATTCATAAAATAACCAAGTCAAACTCTAAAGACCCTTCTGAACATGCTTATTGCATGTTTGTGAAAGTTTTCTAACTTTTCATCTAAAAATTTAGGAAAATATTTCTACTTTGTGATAAAATTAAATAAGAAATTCTCAACAAAATTATTCAAAGAATTGTGCTTTTCTAAAATAATTATAAATAAAACATTAGAATGAAATTCCTGTAATAATATAAAATGTCTTATTTCAGACTTTTAATGCATCTATTTGGATAAAAGTGTTATGAGATTTGATGCATAAATTAGCTTTCCAGGCTTCAATAACTATTAATAATGTAGGCTTTTAATTAAAAATAAATTAGTCCCATTCTAAAGGCAAAAAGATTTCCCTAAGTCACAAACGTGTTGTATAAAATATACATAACTTGTGTTCATTAAATACATCAACATGTTTTCTCCATGAAAGGAGTAATCAATCATTTTGCCAGATTTTTTCTTTGTTAAATTTTCCCAAATGAGTTTAGTCAATTGAAGAGTAACAAATTATGCATTTACATGCAACTCCAATTGACAAAATCTGTGTTGCTTAATAGCCTTCCATAAAAACAGTTGCAACAAATGATACTAAAAGTTGTGTCGCCTGTGATAACTCCAGTCATTAACCTGTGGTTGTTAGAAACAAATCAACGTGATAGACGTGGTCTTTTTGACAGGAGGCTTGAGAATTCTGAAGGTACAAGCATCATTATTAAATCATGCTTTGATATGAGCACAGGAGAAGTAAATATTAATGGGCCTTTTGTGGGTAAGAATTAATTTGCTGTCAAACAGATATTCTCTTCATAGAAAAAAAAAAGGTACATTTATAGCAAAAAAATACACCATATGCATTGCTTCTGAATTATAATTAAAAGACATTAATTTTGAGCATGCCAGTATTAGTTCTAGAGGGATTTTGAGCTTCTGTATTAGTTATCTATAAAATGGCAACAATTTCTGTCTTTGCCTGGGCTTCTTCCAGGAAGCAATGTCTCTAATAAGCACTTTGAACATTCCAGTTTACCTCTTCCTCCTTTGAGACGTGCCTAATGCAAGCTCTTATATCAATTCCATTTGCATTTATGCAGGAATCTCTACCTTTTTCCCACATTTTCATCACAAATCACTTTGAAAAACCTGATGAAAGCTTCTTGTCTTCCCTGGACAGGTCAACTTTATGCACACATTTTTGTGCAGCTCATTTCAGTGGGTTCACAAACATCCATGAAGTCCATCCATACATCCTGGAGTTAGTGGTCTCAACATACACTGGTACATAGCTAACACTTGGTCTGAAGTTCTACTACTAAAGCACAGATGCTTGGGATATCTCTGGATTTTCATGCATGTAGAATTTATGTAAAGATTATATAAAGTTGATTGAAATGTGGAATTATGACTGCTAGCCTTTCTCTGGTAATCAGAATTGTCCACTGGATTAATTCTGAATGAAGAGTTGCAGCTGCCTTTTCAGGTATCATCTTGGCACATGTGCCCTGATGGCTACATGAAGAGTATGGTATGTAAAGCCATTAGGGAATGGGAGGATACTTTCCTGAACAACAGACTCTGCACCAACTTCAAACCTCTCTCTCTTCTCAGAGAGGTAAGTAGAAAGGCAAGGATACAGAGATTATGAAATGCAGAGCTCATATATGAATTCAGAATTGCCTTTAAATATTTACATAAATTTTTGGATTGGCAGAAAATACATGTATGTTATTATGGGATGCTGTATTGTCAGCAGTTATATACAGCACAAGCTAAATTACACCCCGCAATTAGCCCTTTCATTTACTTTAGCAAACTATAATTCCCCTTCTATTCTGTGGAAACCCAGACTCTATCACATTCAGCGATCTACATCTTGGCATTTTTATGCAATCCCCTTCACCCCTCTACCAGTGAAAGGACCAGTGCAGTGGTGGACAGGGAAGTCTGTGCTTGACTTGGTGTGGCACCTCTATACAAACTCTTTTTCTCAGGGATGTTTATCTTTCTTGACATTCTTTAAGGCAATCAAACAGATGCACATATGTCCTCTATGAATCCTCTGACCACTTCCAAATCTAAGTTCAACTACTATTTAACAGCCCTGTAGCAACCTGTAGTTATAAAAATGGATGTTCAGGGCTGGCACTGTGGTTCAGCGGGTTAACGTCCTGGCCTGAAGTGCCAGCATCCCATATGGACGCTGGTTCTAGTCCCAGCTGCTCCTCTTCTGATCTAGCTCTCTGCTATGGCCTGGGATAGCCTGGGAAGCTTCTGGCTCCTGGCTTCGGATTGGCGCAGTTCTGGCCGTTGCAGCTAATTGGGGAATGAACCATCAGATGGAAGGCCTCTCTCTCTGCCTCTCCTCTCTGTGTAACTCTGTCTTTCAAATAAATAAATAAACCTTTAAAAAAAAAGTGGATCAGGGGCTGGCACTGTGGCGCATTGGGTTAAAGCCCTAGCCTAAAGTGCTGTCATCCCATATGAGTGCCAGTTCTGGTCCCGGATGCTCCTCTTCTGATCCAGCTCTCTGCTGTGGTCTGGGAAAGCATTGGAAGATGGCCCAAGTCCTTGTGTCCCTGCACCCGGTGGGAGACCCAGAAGAGGCTCCTGGCTTCTGGCTTTGGACTAGCGTAGCTCCGGCTGTTGAGGCCATCTGGGAGTGAACCAGTGGATGGAAGAATTCTCTGTCTCTACCTCTCTCTGTAACTCTGTCTTTCAAATAAATACAAACAAATATTTAAAGAAAATGGATGCTCAGTCAAATATGTCTATTTTGATGTTACCTACACATATTTTGGAACTATTTGTAAGTATGTAAGAATATTTTAGCACTTTGTTATATTTCCAAGATGAATGAAGTTAGCTTACAGTATTGTACTAGGGATATACCTAACAGTTCCCATATCCTCCATTGCGTTTCATTAAAACTTGGTTGGTCTAGAAGCATGCCAGAGTTCTAAAAAGTAGTGGGGTTAGTTGAAAGCAGGGCAAACCACATTTCATTTTCCTAAAATTTGACTTACCATATAAAAGAGGTATTTTCTAACAGTAAAAGATGCAATGGGGCCTCAGTGGCTAGAGGGGCCAGAGCAAGCATTGCAGGTGTGTACAAGCTCTCATTATAAAGAAGTGCAGACTACGAATGACATATGGAAGCTAAGGAAAGAATGGACAGTGGTAATGCAGGGAGAAATTGTAATCCCAGTACATACATGTGAATCTGATAAGCATGAGTGAGAGAGGAGCTGAGAGTGAATGAGAGAGCCAGAATGAGTTGCAGCTGCTTCCCAGAGCCCTTTCTTCTATAGAGTTTAGGTTGCCTTTTATGAATACCCTTATTATAAAACATGCCTTATTTAACACTACCTAAATATATCTCTGTGTCTTACAAATAAAAAAAGTTACTAAAAGAAAAAGAATCTTTTAATTGATTTTTGTGTTGTGTGATTAAGTATTAGTCTTAAATCTTTATTTTTGAGTTAGGAAGGGATATATCATTTTAAATTTCTTTGCTTCCTGTTGAATTCTTGATTTCATTCAATATGTGTATATTATAGAATATAATATTTGATAGGAAATTCTTTTTTATATAGTCTAATTATTTTATCATTTGCTTGCCTTTCTAAAATAAGTTCAGAAAGTAAGTTTCTGATAGATAAGATGATTTCTTGTGGCAAGTGGTTAAGCATCCACCTGCAATGCTAGCATCTCTTAGGATCACCAGTTCAAGTAATGGCAATTCCACTTCTAATGAAGCTCCCTGCTAATGTGCCTGAGAAAGCAAGGGGAAATGGTCTAAGTGCATGGGTTCTTGCACCCACGTGACAGACCCAGATGCAGTTTGAGGCTCCTGGCTTTGGCCTGGCCCATCCACAGCTGTTGCTGCCATTCGGGGAGTGAACGTGCAGAAAGATCTCTTTATACCATCTCTCTACCTGTATCTGAATCTGTATCTGCATTTGTCTTATCTATCTCTATCGTCTCTATCTCTCATTTCTTTCTCTATTTCTAGCTCATCTATCTTGGTCTCTCTGCCTCTCAAATTAAAAAAAAATCAAGAAAAATGAGCAAAAATTGATACAAAAACAATGATTTGATAAGAAAAAGGTTAATTATGACATTAAGTTTGTACTAATTGATAAAAAATGTAAAATCTTTGTTACAGTAACATTTTCCCAATAATTTAAATTTTTGGGAATACAAGAACTCCATCAGGATATCTCACTTGAATGGCAAGGGCCCAAGTACTCAGGACTGGAAACAGAGCAGCAGAGAATGGAACCTGCATGTTGCAAGCTGCGCCTGAACACAGGCCACAGAATAACTAAGGATATTTGCTATGAAGACCCTGTTTTCTCAGTTATTAAAGTCTCTCCAGTAACTAAAATCTCTCTGCAAACATCATCATGTTAAGGTATTTTGCCGTTGTTTTTAGTGGTGAATTACCATATGTGGGCATACATCCACATGTTCCGTGTGCATCACTTACAAAAGTATCTAGAAAGATGACATCTGTAGCTCCACTGGGATCAGATTCCAACTCATTCTCTTCACTGATTTTACACATTGTACCTGATGAGTAGCAGGAAGATAAATAACTTAGGTTAGTTTCACTTAACTAGAAGTTATATTTAGGAGGAAGAACTGTTATAAGTATGTTGCATATTCTTTTCAGTTTAATTTTATTAAATAGTTAATTTCCTTCTATCTATTAAGATCTATTGTAAAACGAATATAATGAATTCTAATTTTGGTTTTAGTAAGTTTGCAAAGTGTTGTGACTAAGGATAAAATAATCTAAATATGGAAAGTTTTTGGATGAAAATGTACTTTTCCATTGTTTTTTTTTTCCTTTTGTCAATTTGTAAAGTTATTTTATCATTCAGATAAAAATACAGAGACTTGGCAAACAACTTTTTGAATGTAGACAACATTGCTTTTTAATCAAGCACACCAGTTTACTATTTACTCTTTCAATTTTTGTCAATGGAACACCATTAAATTTTTGTGAATGTAAAGATATGACTAAACAATGCTTAAATGAGAGGTTATCTCAAAATATCTTTTAGTTTGAGAATAGATTTTCTTTTCCAAATGAATGCTCTGAGAGTGATGTTTGGAAACCAGAAGTGTGGATTTAATTAGGTCCTGAGACATCCTAAGTTTTGTATTCTCTTAATCAATTTTGAATTAAGTTAAGAATTAAATAAACCCATGTAGGAGGTATAGGTCTAAAATAATTTAATTTACAAATTGCCAAGGAAGATTACATTAGAACAAAATCATACTTGTAATAAACAAAAATCATGGAAGTTTTACTTCATAATTTCCCACATCATTAAGACTTTCTTAAATAAAATAGTCCTGCTTTATCTTACTGAGTTCATGATTGACTGATTTTTTTAAAAAAAATCTTCAAATAGATGTGATGTTGATTATAAATAAGCTGAATCTCTGGAAGAATAATAACCTTACTTTCCTTCCATCTCACTTCATTGCACTCATTTCCTTTTGTTTTGCTATAAGCTGAGGAGCTTAGGCATGAATAGGAAAAAAAATAATTTTCTTGTACTATAGTTTTTCTTTAATTTCAGGAACTGATGCAACAGATTTTAAAGAAGCAGTGTCCTATTTGTCTGCTGGAGTTGTTAGATAATGTAAGTGTTCTTTTCACAATTGAGAACTTGGTTCCTCTGCCTTGCAGGCTTCAGATACTGTAAATCTACATATTTCTTTTCCTTTACAATAGTCAGATTTTCTCTCCAGCTGTGTTTTAATGCAGTTTTCCCTCATTCCTGAGTACCTCCTGTATATTAGTCAGCTTTGTATTACTGTACCAAATCACCTAGGGCATCTAACTTATAAAGAGAAAAGTCTTACCTAGCTAATAGTTGGGGAGGCTCAAAGTCCAAGGTCAAGTTTCCTCATTGATTTGGCCCCTGGGGGAGGCTCCTTCCAATACAGCCACCTTGGGAACCAAGCTTTTACATAGGAATCTCTGAGGTACACTCAACTCCAAGCCCCAACACCCTGGTGAGGTCTCCCTTAGTTATTGTAGACATATTATTTGTGGCTTACACATTTAGAAATGTGTCCTCTTATGAGAAGAAGGAAACTTTATCTTTGGACAAATTGCAAATGATGACTTTTCCCAGCAAATCTTAATACAAGAATTTACTAATCCATGCTTATGCTGGAGTTTATCTCTAATTCAATATCTTGGCAAAACTCTTAAGGTGCATAGAAGGTTTTTTTTTTTTTTTTTAACTTTTATTTAATGAATATACGTTTCCAAAGTACGAATAATGGATTACTATGGCTTCCCCCCCATACCGTCCCTCCCACCCACAACCCTCCCCTTTCCCACTCCCTCTCCCCTTCCATTCACATCAAGATTCATTTTCGATTATCTTAATATACAGAAGATCAGCTTAGTATACATTAAGTAAGGATTTCAACAGTTTGCTCCCACACAGAAACATAAAGTGAAAAATAATAGATGATTTTTTTTAATGATGATGAAATCAGATCAGACCTATTGTCATGTTTAATCCCAGTGAGAGTCAAGTTGGGAGTTGATAGATTCTGATAGATTCCTTTCACTGTTGTAAGTTTCACTTCAATGTGTCATTAGACAGAGGATCAGTTTAGTATGCATTAAGTAAAGATTTCAACAGTTTGCACCCCCATAGAAACACAAAGTGAAATATATTATTTGAGTACTCGTTATAGCATTAAATCTCAATGCACAGCACATTAAGGACAGAGATCCTACATGAGGAGTAAGTGCACAGTGACTCCTGTTGTTGACTTTACCAATTGACACTCCTGTCTATGGCATCAGTAATCTCCCTATGCTCCAGTCATGAGTTTCCAAGGCTATGGAAGCCCCTTGAGTTCTCCGACTCTTATCTTGTTTAGACAAGGTCATAGTCAAAGTGGAGGTTCTCTCCTCCCTTCAGAGAAAGGTACCTCCTTCTTTGAAGACCTGTTCTTTCCACTGAGATCTCACTCACAGAGATCTTTTGCCAGAGTGTCTTGGCTTTCCATGCCTGAAATACTCTCATGGGCTTTTCAGCCAGAGAAGCATATAGATAAGTAACCCAGTACTCTAGGCATCGTTTATTTTATACTATACTTCAAAAAAAAAAATCCTTTCTGGAGGCTGATTTTACACTGCTTTGTCTATGGCTGGGAGTGTGAGTGTTGTGTTCATAAATGCATGTCAAGTCCCCACCCATGTTTGATCCAACTTTGATCTTACCTAAAATTGATCATATTTGATGATCTTATAAACCTGAATTGCGACCTTCCCATTCCATGCTTGCTGAAACAAGACAAAGATGCTTTGATTTCAGGAAGACTATGACTTTTTGATCAGAGGAGGCCAAATTTTGCTGATTCTACCACTGGATAGCAGACAGCTATGTAATCAGGTGATCAAGTGATCAGGAAAACCAAAATCATATCAACCACTTCATTGAATACCCTGTCTACTGCATTCCTTAGAATTATTTACAAAACACAGAAAAAACATAAATGACAAAAACAAAAAAGAGAAAATTTTAAAAATCTAGAAGGAATGTTGTTATACAAAGCTGGAAAGAGACTCAAAATAACCAATATTCAATACATTTTAAAATATGCAGATTTCTCTACTTGTTCCATTTTTAACTCACAAACATTTAGAGAACATTGAGCTTAATATTTAACATTGGCTGTGTTTGGCTAATGAAGGGCCGAGGCAGGAGATGAGGCTCAGCAGCTGTTTTATTCTCCTATGCCGGAGGCTGGCCTCCAGCTGGCTGAGGTTTAGCCCAAGACACACTGGTCCTCACAATGTGCTTCTCTGTTGTCATGGAACAATTTTCTTTCCACTCCTCTTCAGTACCATAAGATCATAGCAAGCTTGTAACTAATGCCCAGGTTCAATATTACATGGTAATTATCTACATGTATGTACACACACACAAACAAGCATGCATAAGATTGCAGTACATGTCCTTGGAAAGCTCATGATACACTGAATCAAAATATTATAGTATTCACTTAAACAATTGGATATAAAAGATTTTTTATTAATAAACAAAGGAGGTAAGAATCAAATGTTACAGTACAGAGGATAATCGTTTTAAAGGCAAACAAAAATCAACAGCTTTGTGCTTAAATATAAAAAAATGTTAATTAAAAGTCAGAGAGACAGTGAGAGGAAAACAAAGACAATTGCTTTGCCCACTGGTTCACTACTGAAATGCCCAGATTGGACAAAACTGAGAATGCTATCCAAGTTTCCCAGGAACAATCACTGCTCCTCAGAAAGTCTGCACTGGCAGGAAGCTGGTGTTAGGAGCCACAGCTAGGAGCCAAGTGCAGGTACTATGATGTAGGACACAGACATCATAAATGCTAGACTAAATGTCCATCCCTCACTTTTGATTCTTGACTTTGATTTCATCCCTTCTATTAATGTTGTTAGAAGGCAATACTTTAGGGGCCGGCACTCTGGTGCAGCAGGTTAATGCCTTAGCCTGAAGCACTTGCATCCCATATGGATGTTGGTTCTAGTCCCGCTGCTCCTCTTCTGATCCAGCTCTCTGCTATGGCCTGGGAAAATGAAAGATGGCCCAAGTCCTTCAGCCCCTGCACCCACGTGGGAGACCTGGAGGAAGCTCCTGGTTCCTGGCTTTAGATTGGCACAGCTCTGTCCGTTGCGGCCAGTTGGGGAGTGAACCATCGGATGGAAGACCTCTCTCTCTGCCTCTCCTCTCTGTGTAACTCCAACTTTCAAATAAATAAATAAACCTTTTTTTTTAAAAAAAAAAAAAAGGCAATACTTTAGGTTTAAAAAACATGAAAAATGACTTGATATTTTCGTTTGATATGCTTTAAATTTACTTCATAATCACAGCTGAATCCTCTACTAAATAAAGAATTCACCAAACAGCACGTAAAAAACCACTGCTTCTCAGGACGATAGACAAAAGACATAAACAATAATCAAGATGTCAATTTCACTCATATACATTGCAGCTTTTCGCACTGTTTTTTGCACACCAATTTTTTTGACTACTTCTTGACTCATATCTACTTCCTGTTCCTGTTTATGGATGATATTATCCTAGTCACCTTTTACACATTCCATAGCAAATTTTAAAATTTTTATTAACATGCTTTAAACAGACAGAGCACTCCTATCTGCTGATTCGATTCACTCACCATATGCCATAATCTTCCAGGGCTGGGCAGAAGCTCGAAGCTAGGACGTCAATCTAGACTTCTCACATGAGTGGTGCGAACTCAACTACAGGTAAGGGCAATTGCTTTCCAGGGAGAATACTGGCATAAAACTGGAATTGGGAGCCATTACCAGGCTTGAACACCAGAACATTGATATGGGCTAAACACCCACCTGTAACCATCATCTTTTCTGACCAGTCACCTTACAAAAATGTCATACATTTGTACAAGGTTAAAAGAAAGACATTTTCCCCTAAGTTATGCACATTCTTCTGTAATCCATACATTAACTATAGAACCTGGAGTCTTGAACTCACCCTGAATATCTCCTTTTCTTTTCCTGTAATGTAGCAAAACAATGACTCAGTAAAGGAAATCATAATTCTGCAACTTGCCTTATATCAAAATTTTAAGTTTCTATAAATAATACTAAATATATTGCCACCTCATGTCTGATGTCATGGTGAGGTTTTTTTTCTACAAAGCCAAGGCAATATATAAGCCAGCTGCAGATTTCAAAGTAAGTAGACAACTGAAATTACACTGAAATTTTTGAGCAAGAAAATGTTATCTAAAGTTATAGTTTTAGAATAGCATAAAAGTTAGATTTTTTATGTACTTATTTGTCATACACTGTATAGAACTTTGTAAATTATTATGTTTGTTTACATCATGGTATGATAAAGTCAGGGCAAACCAATTGAATCTTTAATGTTTTCTCTCAAAATAGAACATAGCATTCTAAACCCTGTTGTGAGAATATAAGAAAAAATCCTATATGTACTGGGTGTTTTATGTATTTACATAGAAACATATATGTATATATAATTTTATGTACATGCATTGAATCTACTTATATATTTTGTCTATACACATAGATTGTATATCACTTGAATTTTTTATTTTAATGTGTGCATCCCCACTCATACACAAATAATTTCTAAGCTTTCAGTGTATATGGATTCAGTAACTTTCAGTGTATATGGATGTCTTTGTTCTTAAAATTATCAGAAACAGTTATCATGCTATGCTGTATCAATATAAAGACTTTTAAAAAATTGAGATGTTTGGGTCATGGTGAATAGAGTGTAGTACATTAGTTTTGGGCTGTAATTTTAAAACATTTCCACAGTAAGAGATGATTACAACTTTTCAGATAGAGTTATTTTGGTGAAAATATATTTTATTTCTAGCTAGTGTGGCAAGATATATAAAGATAATAGCTGTGATTCTACTTCATGTCTCATATCTCTGAATGGACTGAATCTTATAAGCAGGGTGAATTATTTTCATTAGAGTCTCCCTCAACACATAGATACTCCAAGATAAGATACAGAGTTTGGAAGGGCAGAACGTAAAGCCATAGCCAGGCCTGTGATTATTACTATCGCCTTCTTTTGCACTAAAAGAATCACTTTATAATATCTGTGGTGGGCATGTGGTCTAGTGGTTAAGGCAAAACTTGAGACATCCATACCCATACTGGGTGACTGGGATTGTATTTCAGATCTGCTTTCCATTTGAGTTCCCTGCTAATGCTGGAGGAGGCAATGGCAGTGGCTGCAGCAGTTGGACCCTGTCACCCATGCTGGGACAGTTAGATTGAATTACCAGCTCCTGGTGTTGGTCCTTATCTCAGAGCCTTTGTAAGCATTTGGAGAATTAATAAGAGGATGGAACCTCTCCACCTCACTCCCACTCTCCTCTTGTTATACAAATAAATACTTAAAATAAAATAAAATAAAATACTATCTTATTCAAATAGTTGACTTAAATTGTTAACGCTCCTATACAACAAACCTAACAATGTATGCATGTTTATTTTTATCTCTGCAACTTCATCCATTCCTTTCTAAACGGTGTATGTATTTTATTTTGTGGTTATAATAATGTGAAACTTCTGAACAATATCCCTTACTTTTTTTAAATAGTAAGCTTAAGGAAATACAAAAAATAGATTCAGTAGATTTGCTTGACTACAAATCTGTAGTAATACAATAATGTCAGAGAGAAGGTTATAAGTGTCAGTCTTACACTACAAATCCTCTTCATGTCAAGGGACGTGCCTTGCTTTTTCGAGGATGCTTGAAACATCCTGAGCCATTGTAAAGATGAGATTTTGACAGAGGGCCATTTTGACCCAGATATATAAGGTGACTTTTCTGAAAGCTTCCTGGGGATCTTGTAAGCAACAATCAAATGTCCAAGTCAAGAACTGCTCATCTGTGTGGGCAGTGTGTGGTGTTGACAGAGATGAAAATGATTGAATGTACAGTGTTGATTCTATTTCCAACTACAGAGAGAGAGCCCTAGATGGTATTTACAAACTTCACAATTCTGCCTCTAGCCCTTTTCAAAGTGATCCTCCCACTCTATTGACTTATTTCTCCATCCCTCTTCTCCAGTGTCACTCACCATGACGTATTTCTTATTTACCTTCAGGGCAGGCAGGGCATATACAAAATTATTCATGCTCTTACTCATACAAAAGGAGAAACAGGAAGCATAGTCCTCAGAATAGGATAGCATCGCTTGTTCCCATGGAAAATCAGGAAGAAGCAGGCACTGTCACTCAGTTTATGTATACTCGCTGGCTCCTATTCCTTTTGACTATAAGAATTTAAGTGTCAAAAGTGGTAGAATCCAAGCAGATATTCAGAAAGCAAATATAATGAGCACTCTGAGATATAGTTTACCATATAAGAAGGTATATTGGAAATACTAAGCACACATAAAGAGAAACTCGTTGTCAATGACATTTCATTCCCAATGAGAATTTTATTGCCCCCAAAATGTCAACAGAGGAAATAAAAACATTTTTTAATGTTCTGGTATAGGTCACATAAAGACTGGAAATCTTACTACTTGCATCCTTGACTTCTGAAATCACGTATAGCATATTTTATAAAAATGTGAGTGATGTCAGGAAATATATCTGAAAGGTGTACTTGTAGTAAAATTCAGAATGTTGATTCTTTCCCACACAACTGAAAAAGAATACCTTCCATGTATCCAAGTTATAAGATATACCTTAATGTCAGACAACTATAGATTCTTTTGACAGGTAGAGTTAGACAGTGAGAGAGAGAGTGACAGAGAGAAAGGTCTTCCTTCCATTGGTTCACCTCTCAAATGGCCACTACGGCCAAAGCTGCGCCGATCTAAAGCCAGGAGCCAAGTGCCTCCTCCTGGTTTCCCATGTGGGTGCAGGGACCCAAGCACTTGGGCCATCCTCCACTGCCCTCCCGGGCCACAGCAGAGAGATGGACTGGAAGAGGAGCAACTGGGACTAGAACCTGGTGCCCATATGGGATGTCAGCCCTACAGGTGGAGGATTAACCAAGAGAGCCACAGAACCATCCCCCACAACTATAGATTTTAATTGATCTCAGGGCTACCTAATATATCATATTTATTTTGAAATGAATTATAATTCATACAAACTTGGCATTAACATACAAATTAGGTATTTCTAAGTGATTAATGTAGCCTTAAATGAGTTCAGTTAGTATATAATAAAGTTATTATAAATCTAAAATGACTGGTGGTTTAAAGTTCTCTAGTTCATGGATATGTATCAGATGACAAATTAGCAAACATAATAACATATATACTCTCATACAGTATTTTCTGGAGTACTACAAAAAACAGTCCCAATGTTGATGTTGTATCATAGGAGGCTAAGCCAGCACCTGAATAATCCACATCTCATATCATAATGCCTGGAATCTAGTTCCACCTTTGCTTTCAATCCAGCTTCTGCTAACATGCCTCTGGAGGCAGCTGATGATGGCACAAATACTTGGGTTCCTGCAAACATTTATTTTGGGATGTGTAAAGGGTAACTAAGATAATATCATTCATAAAGAGGAACAATAAGTACATATGAATCAAGAAGTAGTCATGGGAGGGGGAGTCAGAAAAATTGGAATAAAGAAATTCTAATACTTTTATTAAATGAGACACTGAGTTGATTCTTTATCTTAGTTATGAAAATGTGGTTACAAACAGAAGTACATTAAATTAAGAAGCTTCTGCATTGAAAAAGAAATACTCAGCAAAGTTAATAGACAACCACTAGAATGAAAGAAATTATTTGTGAACTATGCAACTGAGAAAGCACTAATATCAAGAATATATAAAGAAGTCAAGAAACTCAACAACAGCAAAACAAACAGCCCAGTTAAGAAACGGGAAAAAGGACTTAAACAGGCATTTTTCAAAAGAGGAAATCTAAATGGCCAACAGAGACATGAAAAAATGTTCAGGACCACTAGCCCTCAGGGAAATGGAAATCAAAACCACAATCAGGTTTCACCTCATCCCTGTCAGAATGGATTTTATACAGAAATCAACAAACAACAAATTCTGGTGAAAATGTGGTGAGAAAGTTAGCATAATCCACTATTGGTGAAAATGTAAACTTGTACAACCACTGTGGACGACAGTATGAAGATACCTCAGAAATCTGAATATAGACCTACCATATGACCCAGCCATACCATTCCTAGGAAATTACCCAGGGGAAATGAAATCAGCATATTAAAGTGTTATCTGTATCCCCATGTTTATTGCAACTCAATTTACAATAGCTAAACTATGGAATCAACCCAAATGACCATCAACTGAAGAATGAATAAAAATTATGGGATATGTGCACCCTGGCATACTACACAATGTAATAAAAACTGAAATCCTGTCATTTGTAATAAAATGGATGCAAACACTATACTTAGTGAAGTAAGCCAGTCCCAAAAGGACAAATACCATATATTCTCCATAATCTGTGGTAACTAATAGAGCACCTAAAAGGTAATTTTATGTCAACTGACATTTTTGAGATGTGATGACCTAGAACAGCCCTTGTCTCGACTGTTGAGGAAACTTTTTTCCCATCTATTTGCTAAACTCTTTTGTTAGTATAGAGTTAATCTTACATGTGTAAAGTTAACTGAAAATAGAGCTTAGTAAAAAATAAGAATGGGAATAGGAGAGGGAGAAGGAGAAGGAGGAAGGGTAGGAGTGCAGGTGGGAGTATGGTTATGGTGGGAAGAATCACCACATCCCTAAAGCTGTATTTCTGAAATGCACAAGTTCATATACCTTAAATAAAAGGTTTCTGGGTAAAAAACAAATGATAAACAAAAAAGAAAAATGTGGTGTATATACAATTTGGAATACTACTAGGCCATGAAAAGGAATGGAATCCTGCCTTTTGCAAATAAATGGATGCAACTAGAGACCACCATGCTTAGTGAAGTAAGTCAGTTCCAAAAATAAAAATATTATGTTTTCTCTGATTTCTGTTAACAATACACAGAGTACAAAATCTGCAATGTA